GGGGGCGGGGCGGGCGCCATTGCGGGGGCGGGGCCGTGCTGGGCGGGAGCGGCGGCGCGCGCCGTGCGCTGTGAGCGCGGCCGCCGGCAGGGGGCGCGCTGTGCGCCCGCCCCGATGGCCGAGAGGCGGCGGGGCTTGCGGGGTCCGCGGTCGGGAGCGACTGTGAAGATCGTGGGCTTCCAGGGCACACCTTTCACTAGGCCGGGCTGCTCGAAGTCGTGTCCAGCCTGTCGTTGAACACTTCCCGGGATGGAGCGTCCGCACTGCCTCCCAGGAAAGAGTGTCGGCCTTACACCTCAGCTAAGCCCACCTTCCTTCAGCTTAGGGGCATTCCCTCTTGTCCTATCAGTACATGCCCTTGAGGAAAGCCCCTCCCCAACCATCTTGTAAGGAACTTTTAGGTAACAGAGGGTGCTCTAAGACCTCCTCGGAGCTTTTTGTCTCCAGATTGAACATCCCCCAACTCTCTCAGCCTGTCTTCATAGGCGAGCTGCTCCAGCCCTGGGATCAGCTTAGTGGCCCTCCTCTGGACTCAACCTAACGGGTCAATGTCTGTCTTGGATTGGGGGCCCCAGAGCTGGACACAGCTGGACAGATAGGCCTGAGCTACTGAGCGTTCCCCTATTGGAACACCACAGTCCAGGACGTTTCCTGTCCAACAAGGTGTTGGAGTGTGGTTGCACAATCCTCCTGTTTAAGTGTTGGGTGTGGTTGCACAATCCTCCAATGTTCCTGTGGGCCTTGTGACCATTGTTGGAAAGCGGTGGCTGCAGCATAGAAGAAAGATAATGTTGGCTCAGAAGCACTTTTAAATGAAGACCTGGTCATATAAATGTTGCTCCCAGTGTTACTAGGTTGTTGGGATTTAAGGAATAAGAAATACAGACTGTAAGAATGCATAGTATGTGCATAGTTCTGACAGCTTAAAGTAACATGATTGTGTGGTATAAACTTATGCATAAGCAATTTTTAATAGGAGAAACAAAAGAGGATATGAAGACACATATTGATGGCATTTCACAATGTGTGGTGAAATCAATCTTGCAAAATTCTCTCCAATTCCCTTTGACTGTTCTCCTTTACATAACAACACATGTTGGTACCTGCATAAGAGTAGTCATGGTGGGATTACCATGACTGTGCAGTACATATCACTGTAGACTTCTGTATTTTGTGCTTCAGCTTGTAAACTGTTTGTGATGGGAACCAGGCTTTGCTTTATGACCCAATGTTGTGTACTTACCAGCTGAGCCTTGAGTATGGACCCCGAATTTGAAGTTCAACAAACAATGGATAGCAGTAAGTGTAATAATTATTTTCAGAACCTTTTCAACTCTAAAGGATAACTGTTTACTTAAAACATTTAGGAAAGAAACAGCAAAGCACTGCAGAACAGAAGTAATCTAAGTATCACTGTACTTTTGCTCTGTTAATCAGCAGAAATGAACAAGTATTTCCTGTACTAAGCCATTTTCCAAGAAGAGATTGACTAGGGCGTTATAGTAATTCCATGTAATATGTGACTAAACTAGTTTTACATTGAAATAAATATGGTAATACCTGTTTATGAGTCACTTCTTAATTTGTTGCTGCTTTGGCAATCTATAGACATACTGTGGCAGGACATCCCCCCACTGGAATGTGACCAAGACAATACCCTGGCTCTTGTCCAGTTTTTCAGACACTAATATCCCAAACCTCTTCTTAATAGGGTAGCTCTTAATCCCTTCATCCCCCAGTCTGTATTGATAGAGAGAGTTGCTCTTACCCCGGTACAGCACCATGTACTTGGCCTTGTGAACACCTTCTGAGATGTTCAACGTGAGGTGTTGAACCTCATGAACTTGTGGGTTCATTCCTTGAGCTTGCACAGGTCCTTCTGGATAACATCCTGATCCCATTCCCTGGGTGTGTCAACTACACCACTTGGCTCTTCATGTCATATGGAAATTTGTTAAGGATTCACTTGATCTCGCTGTCTATGTCACTGATGAAGATATTAAACAAGACTGGTGCCAATACAGACACCTTAGGGGCACCACTCATCACTGATCCCTATCCAGACATTGAGCTGTTGACCCGTACTCTCTGAATGCAACCAATCCAGCCAATTCCTTACCCACTAAACAGTCCACCCATAAAATCCTCTCTCCAATTCAGAGAGACAGATCTTGTGAGGGACTGTGGCAAAGGCATTGCAGAAGTCCAGATAGATGACATCTGTAACCCTTCCCTTGTCCACTGATGTCACTGCATCAAAGAAGGCCACAGTGCTGGTCAAGCAGGTCTTGCCCTTAGTGAGGCCGTGCTGGCTGTCTCAAATCACCTCCCTGTCCTCCATATGCCTTAGCATAGCTTCTAGAAAGATCTATTCCAGGCACAGAGATGAGGCTGACAGCTCAGTAGTCCCCAGGTACATCCTTCCTACCCCTTTTATAAGTGGCAGGTCCCTAATATAGCATTCCACTCTTTGAGAAATAGCACAAAAGGTAAGGGGATGTCCCATAGAATCTCTCGTCCACTGTATGCATTATCCTGAACTGTGTGAAATTGTACTTCATGTGGGTTTTCTTGAAATGTAGTAGATAGTTTTGTTCTGATGTAACCAATACAATATTGCTTTCAACCTTGAACTTGATTCAAAGTTGAAACTTTGAAGGATTTGGAGGTAGATATTTTGGGTAGTCCTGAAGATAAGACCATTGCTGTGTACATATGAGCCAGTGTCATGCAAGAGATGGCAAGCAACAAATTTAGAAATAGAATATAGTATGGATTACCTTTTAAACTGAGGTGGTAAGTTCCTTCAAAATAGCACAGCTCAGTGATTTCATCTTTCAATTTGCAAGGCGTCATTGAGCTGTTTTAATATGTTTTTTCAGTTGTCAGTGTTTTCCAGAATCAAAGTGTACATTAGGAAACAGAAAGTTTCTAGCTGTTGGGCTCTGAACTTTCCAAGGGGAAGTAAAGATTTCCCTAAGGCTGAAGAAAAACCTGGAAGACCCTTAGGAGGAAAGAATATCAAGTCTCATTAGGTTGCATCTTGTTTGAAGATTTCTCTGATGGCATGTAAGATGCTAGCATGAGTTGCATCACTGATTACATTTCAATGGACAAAACAGAGCTAATTCTTTCTGATGGGACCTATTGGAAATGAAGGTGATGAAACAACTGCAGAGGAACAAAAAGAAAAAAAATTAAAATCAGGGAAAGAAACAGTGCAGCTAAGAGAACAACACAACAGGAGAAGAAATTGCGGTAAGATGGAAGACAAACATTTCCTGGCTGACCAAGAGTGAAAGAAACAATGTGATAGTTAATAAATCATAACCAGAAAACATACTTATGATACAAAGTGTTTATTGTCTTGATTTTTCTGCTGACCTAACAGGGAGTTTCAGTGTAGGATGAGAAACTTATGCATCTATGTTTGTACTCTAGTCCATGGATCACCATTAAAAATAAAGTATGGGCTTCTACCAAGAGTCAGTAACGGATATGGAATGTATCAGTATTACTAACAGTCCTATAAATAAAGTAGGTAAATGTGGGTCAGTATGTGGGTCTTTTTTGAGGTAGATGGGAGGAAATATCCTTAGAGAGAGCATCTGTAGTCTGACGTATCAAGATGAGAGAAACATTTCCTTTCCAAGTGGGGAAGAGTGGGAAAGCTGTCCCCTTCCAGCTTATTTTAACTTCCAGGTTTAGTTTTCAGTGCAACAGAAGCAAACTTTAGTTTAAAGAGAAAAATTCTCTTTAGAGACAATAAGAAACACTGCTGTCATACTGAAGGAAAATCTATAATGACATAATAGATGTAGTTCTGATAGCCTTACTGCTGGTGGTTTTAATTGGTCTTCATAAATGTTTTATGCAATTGAAAGAGAATTTAGTCAGCATTGCTAAAGAAATTATGTGTTGATAGAGCTTATAATGTCACCTGTAACACCTTTGTAAATTAGCCTGAGTAAAAGAGACATCATATTTATTCTCAGGAGTCTTCATACTGAATTCAAGAGTGAAGAAAGATGATTATTCTTATCTCACTTCACTATTGCAAGGCAAGAATGCTGTCACAGGCTTTGGAATTGTGCTTACACTACCATCAGCCTGGAGTAAATGAGATCAGAAGCAGGCCCTGTAACCAGGGATTGTGTTGGGAAGCGCATTGGAAAGAGAAAGAGGGTCTGGAAGCTAATATACTTATACTTTTGCCAGCCTGCCTTAGGCATTGTGTTTAACAACATTGTTCCCTGACTATTAGTGTTGAGGAACAGGGTACTTTAGAAGCTTCTTGTCATCCTTGAAAGAAGTGATGTTTTGGGAATTTTGCAAGTATTCTGAGAATGGGATGTGTGGCTTGGGAGGGTGTTTATTGCTTAACTGGATTACTCAATTGCTGATCTCTGCCTAGTAAATATATACCTGTGCTCTGAGCTGCTGCTTTCTTGTACTTTTCTTTAATCTTTATTAGTTTCATACATTGAAAAGTTTTATAAAATACAGACTGACTTTCTGTTGCTGTTACTGCTAACATTCCTTTCAAAACCATCCTTGAGAATAATTTATTGTCACCAAATAGATTTACTAGTTGAT